GGAGCAGGCTGGTCTTCAACGCCACAAGCCCCTTTTCCATTACAATAGAGTGCCTCATGCGTGGTCGTCGTCATAGCAGCACAGTCGAGCGTCCTGTGATGTCATTGGCATGTGACACGAGCGCTACTACAAAGGTGGGCGTGGACGATACACCTGCTCGGTCTGTGGCTGTGCGTCAGATTTGGGAACACGGCGTTGTTTTTGTTGCGGAGTTTGAAAAATGTTGGTTTTGATTTGTGTGAATGAGACGCTCTCAGCGAGCGACGCCACTGACCAGCCAATCGGTGGCATGCAGTCTGACGTCAGATGTTAGCACCTGCTCGGATGGCTTGGAGCCGTGCAGGTGCTATTTTAGCACACAGTGCTACAACCTGATGAAACCCCTGAAGACTGTTGAGACTGTCGTTCCCAGTCGGTACTAAAGGAACAAGAGTGCACCTGTGCTTCAGTCATTGATGGGAAAAGCCCGGATTCTTACCTGAGACTTGAATGACGGCACCAAACCACAGCAGCAGCCTCCTCCGGCGCTTTTAACGTAGAGATTTGACAGTAATTTAGTGCAACTGATCTCAAAACTGGGAAAAAGAATCACAAACGTGATTTTTAGGGAAAAGTTCATCTGTGACAGACTGGCGTGCATCCTCTCACCTGTGACAGCTAAAATAGGCTCCACCCCCCCATGACCGTGAAATGGATAAGCAGAAGAAAATGGCATGTTTGTGAACATGTTTGTGCAGCTAAACTTGTTTTATTCTTTTGTTTCCAGCTGGATATCAAAGGTTTTCCATCGCTATGGTAACGATGCTTCTTCTGTGGCTCTCACATTCACACTACCTTTAACCTCAGCAGGGGTCAAAGGTTCATCAGCAGCACCACGCTGTGCTGTCAACACTGAGGCTGCTGCAGTACTTCAGTCTGTGTCATCATGTGGCTTCAATCTGCTCGTTGATTGGTGGCAACGTTCTGCAGCATGAGGCTGATTAATAACCTAACGCTGCATGTGATGTGAGGAGGAAACGTGTGTGTGTGTCTGTGTGTGTGTGTGTGTGTGTGTGT